TGATTACCATTAGTAAAACCATAATAATTTGAAACTGCCATAGTCTTGCAAGTGCTTTAACACATCTGAAATGAACTGGTTAAATACACAGCTGTAACTCTCTTGTTGTTTTTAGGTAACTCTAATATGATTTCAGTTTACACAGTGAACATTTAAGCTTAATTGCTGAAGATGACATGCAGGGTTTTAGTCTGCTCTTGTCATATTATGGCTGTATTTGTTGAATCATGTGTTGTAATTTTTCCTAGTTAAACTGTAGTGAACCATGTAAATACACGCTCTTTGAAATTTGTGAAATTAATTTATGTTATATAGTAAATCTTAAAAATGTAAAATGTGTGTTACTGCTGGAAAATAAATGCAGAAAAATAGTAAGTTTTTTTCTTACTTGTTGAACTGATGTGGAACAGAAAAGGAGCAGAATAAATACAGAGAAAACAGGAAAGGTAAGTAAATCACAGTAAAAGCATTAAATATATTTTAACCCTAAAATATCCTGAATCATTTTACAGAAGTAATTTATTCAATAAATAAATGGACAGAGAGCACAACCCCCCCAATGTTAGACCTAAAGTTACGCCCTTGCCCACAAGGATATAAAAACAAGTTTGTGAGTGTGTGTGTGTGTCTGTGTTAGCGTCTGTGTGACTGTGACTCAGCAGCTCCAACAAACCCTCGGGGAGATGGAGATGATTTTTAGTGCCTCCTACATGCACACATACACTTTTCTACATCTTATGAATCATCCTCGTTACCTGGGTGAAGCTGCCARGGAATGCAGTGACTAATGCATGTCATGTTTGCAGGGAGAATGTGCCGTCTGAAAACGTGTTTATAAAAAATAATAATAATAAAAATCTTTTGCTCAGGCCTCGTGTGTGCAGTAAAGTTGCACTGTTTTATCTTGTTTGAGCAAATGACATGAAACGAGCGTGTTTGTGCGACGACAGGGAGCCCTGGTGAGCGCKTTGGCTGACGACACCGTCCATTTGTGGAACCTGAGGCAGAAGAGACCAGCGGTCCTCCATTCCCTCAAGTTCAACAGAGAGAGGTAAATCTGCAAACCGCTGTGACAATCAAGACCTCTGCTTTCCTCTGCTTTCGTCTTTCTGTGCTAAATGTTCTGGTGTAACATGAACTGTGACTCAGTTAGCAGGGTCACAATTACAATTTGCTGCCCGTGTCAACTGTTAGCTTTTCCACTCATACAATATGCAGCCAGACAGCCTTACGTTCGGCAAATGTGTTACTGCGCCTTGAAGAAGCGTTCGCAGGGCAAAGGAGGTGGCAGAGAGGCCAACGCTCTCGTTTTTGCTCTCTCTCTCTCTCTCTCTCTCTCTGCGGGTTTGTTCCTGCTGGTCTTTAAACGCTCTTTATTCGGGTCGCTTCCTCTGCCTTTGAGGATTCCTCATCACCGGGACACAGGTGTGACCCCAACAGCTGAAGGTTTCCACCAGAAGCTCACTGCAACACACACACACACACACACACACACACACACACACACACACACACAAACATGCACAACGAGCGGCGTGTGATATTTTAAAGCGCTGCATTTCGTTTTGTTTGATTTAATTTGAAGCCAAAAGGATTAAATCCTTTTTGCTACATGCAGATGAAGGTGATGCCCTCAAACTAATAAAACTGACACTTTTTAATGAATGAGATAACAGATCAGTTACATGGAAACATTAATTAGACCACTACAGATTTACAGCTTTAAATTCATGATATAGTAGTCAAGGGTTGCAGATTGAGACCAAATGAGCCAACATTTTTGCTCTTTAAATGTGTGCTTTTAAGATGTAAAGAGCTTTTGAAGGGCTATAGAGAGAAATAAAGAGACTGGTTGCATCTGTGAAGAGATATCTTTTAAAAGGTCCCTGCWTTTTCCCACAGGCTTGAAACTCTTCCATTGAGTGACTGATATTTCATTTCATTGTGAAATATTTGGCTGGTAATTATTCATTTTTAACTTTAAAGCAAAATGTCCTGATGCATCTCAGTAATCCAGGTAGAAAAAAATCAAAAAGAAAAAATAAGTAGGTCCTCTGGATGGGTTCTTCTTTAGCGAAACGTTTCGTCTCTCCTCCAAGAGACTTCTTCAGTCTGATGAGTTTCAGGTGAACTCAGCCTTATAAGCACTGCCTCCACATGGTGGACAAACAGGTCAATCACATGCAAGAGAGGGCCATCAACAAACAATAGGCTTGATTGGCTCTATTGTCATAGAGGGTCATGTGCCCCATCACCTGACCCGTGTCGTTTTTATGTGAATGTAATGAATGCAAGCGGGGGTTCAACGTCCCCTTGTTTTTGTTTTTTCCCTCTATTTGTTGGTTATCGTTGGGGCCCTGATTCACACCTTTTGCTCACAGGGGGCTGA